GGTGATAAATTAATCAAAAAATAAAACAAGAAAGAAATTTTTAAAATTCTGGAGATAAACAAATATAAAAACACAACACCTGATATCTGAACACATTAAAAGGAGTCCTCAGAGGAAAATAAAATAAATAGAAACAACTAAACAATACAAAGTATCAATTAATAAGACCTGGTTCTTTGGGGAAAATAAACAAAATCAATAGACCTTTGTCTCAATTAATTAAAATAAAGAAATGACCCAAACTAACACAATCAGAAATCAATAGAGGTAGTAAGTCAATTAAGTCTAGAGAGCAATAAGTCAAGAAGGATTTCCCTCTATTATTGAGGGATAATAATAAGAAAATAAGAATAAGTAAAATGCCCTATTTACAGATGATGTGATATGTGGAAAGATACAAAAAACGTAATCAGAAAACTTCTAGAACTTCAGAAAAGTGGCAATATATAAGATAAACTTACAAAATTCATTAACCTTCCTATAAGCCCTGGAGGCACAGGAGTAGCAGGGTTCCACCCCAGGACCCTGAACCTTCCAGGCTCTACCAAGAGAACACTCTACCAGCCATAATGGCTGGATCCAGCCCCTCAAAGAGGAAGTGGCCACACTCTGTCCTACAGAGTAAAATGGTCCAAGACCAGGCCATAAAATGCCACCAACTCCATGCCACCCTAGAAAGCTCCACCCCCAGGAAACCCTATATTAAGTCTGCCTCCAGCTCAATTCTTTGATGCTTCTCTGCAACCAGAGACAGCCACCCAGCCACCTGTGTTTTTCCCAATGAGTCTTTTGTGTGAGGTTTGTTGTGCAGTGACGCAGGCAGCAGGGTGGCTTTCCAGGCTAAACATAGAGACTCTCCTTATAGGCTCCACCCTTGGAGACCTCTGGCTGAAAGGCCTGACACCTATCTGCATGCAAGGTAGGACACCCCATCCCTGTGCCTTGAGTAGCTCCAATTTCAGGGCTGGGCTGCTGAGAAGCTCCAAAGGCCCTTGAGGTAGAAGAGTAACCAGGGCCTACTCTACAGGAAAAAAAAAATCTCACCAAATCCTGAGCTTGCCCTAAGATCAGGCCATATAATTCCTCCAATAATCTCAGGCCACCATGGAAAGCTCCACTCCCCAAGAAACCCTATATAAGTCTTGGCTGCTTCTTGCCCTGAGCAGAGGCAGTCATTCTTCTGATATTTTCCCTCCCAAGAAATCTCTTGAGTGAGGATTGTTGTGAGGTTTTCCTCAGCTCCCAACTGCCAGGATATCTTTCCCTTCAGAGATGTAACACTTATACTCTCTATACACCAACACCAACATGCAAACATGCTGAGTACAAGATCATACACACACTCCCATTAAAAAATCATGAAAAATAAATCATCTAGGAATAAACCTAACCAAGGAAGTAAAGGACCTCTACAACAAAAACTTTAAATCTCTGAGGAAAGAGATAAAGATAGCAGGAAATGGAAAAAGAGGCCATGCTTGTTGAAAAATTAATACTGTAATTAGTTAATGTTGTAATCAATACAACATTTGTACTGTTATTCATGCAATCCCAATCAAGATATCCTCATTATTCTCCACAAAAAAAGAGAAAAATGCATATGGATCCAGAAAAGAATTCGTATAGTCAAAGCAATACTGAGCAAAATGCTGGAGAGATTGCCATTCCAGACCCCCAAATGTTTTGCAAAGCCATAGAAAAAAAAGGAGGAGGCAGAGAAGGAGTTGGAGGAAGAAGAGAAGGAAGAGGAAGAGGAAGAGAAAGGAGAAAGAGAAAGGAGATGGAAGGACACCCGCCTGGTCTGACCTCTGTGGGGAAAGTACACCTAACCCTTGAGATGCTTGAAGCCTCAAGGAAGAGGGCTACCTGGGACGGAGGGAAGCACCCTCTCAGAAGCAAGGAGGAGGAATGGTATGAGGAACTGTTGGTGGGGGGACCTGAGGAGGAGCAATGGCTGGAATATAAACATAAAATAATTTTAGAAAATGAGCTATGGGTCAAAAAAGAGAGTTCATGGGAGAATAAATAAAAATGGCTAAGAAACATCTCGAAAAAATGGTCGTCATCCTTAGGAATTAGAGAAATGCAATCAAAACAATTTTGAGGTTTTATCTTACCCTAGTAACATGGCTAAGATCACTAAAGCAGGTGACAACAGATACCAGAGAGACCTGCAGAGAGGGGGGCACTCATTCACTGTCAGTGAAATTGCAAATTGGTGCAGCCACTCTGGAAATCAGTATGGAGAATACTCAAAAAGCCAAACAAAAATCCACCACATAACTCAGCTGTACCACTCCTTGATATATGCCAGTGGTTCTCAACCTCCCTCGTGCTGTGACCTTTAATACAATTCCTCATGTTGTGATGAGCCCCAACCACAAAATTATTTTTTATGTCAGCACTGGAATAATTCTTATTAACTACTTTATTAACCTCTATGTATCTTTACTTTTCTCCAGGAAGATCCAACACTAACAATATTGAAAGAAAGGAATTTACAAGAAACCATACAGGATGGAAAGCAAAATCATTCACCAAAGCCAACTGTTCTCAGTTATAACTTTGAATGTAAGTGGACTTAACAGAAAGATTAAATTACAGATTAATGCAACAAATTCCATAAAATTTTTTTGTTGCTACATCATAACTATAATTTTGCTATTGTTAAGAGTCATAATGTAAATATCTCTGCTTTCTAATGGTGTTAGGTGAACCCTGTGAAATGGTTATTGGAACCCCCAGATAGGTTGTGACCCACACATTGAGAACTGCTGGTATATGCTTAAAGGATAAAACATCATGACCGAAAAAAACATAAAAGAAAGCATTTAATTATGATTATTGATTCAGAAGGTTGGAGTCCAAAAAGGCATGGCAACAGGAATAGGTAAGAGCACATATCTGTATGTATGTATGTATTCACACATCTTGATTACAAGTAGGAAATAGAGAGAGGCAATCTAAAATACCATAAATCCTTGAAACCTCAAAGCCTGCCTCCAGGGGGATAATTCTTCAAGTAACGTACTTCTCCAGCAAGACCATATCTTATAATCTTTCCCAAACAGCTACCAACTGGAGGACAAGTATTTAAACATAAAAGCCAGTAGGGCCATTTTCGTTCAAAATATCACAATACCCTACTCACAGATACTTCCTCAGCAATTCACTTTGCCATGCTGTCTACAATAGCTAGAAAATGGAAACAACCTAAACAGAAACAACTTATGAATGGAAAAATGCAATGTGGTGCATATACACTATTGACTATTATTCAACTCTAAATAAAAGTGGAAATTTCATGGAAACAGAGCTATAAATGATTGTGCTGAGTTAGGTAATCGTTGGGTGTGTGCATAGAGCATGGAGAAACCACAGAAACCAGGAGAGTAAAAAGGGACTATGGGGATACAGTGTAAGAGAAAAAATGCTTGCAGGGGAATAATCAGATACAAATGATATGAAAGGGGAAATGTGAAATCCTTAGAGACTTTAATTAGGGAGGAGACAGGGGGTCAATAGAGGAAAGGATGGGCCAGGCAGAGAAAATGACATTAAGGATGTTCGAAAAAGCCATAAAGAATCATTTTATTTTATATCAACCTACAATTACACACACACACACACACACACACACACACACACACACACACACACACACTGTGCGTGTGCATGTGCTTGTGTGTGTGTGATGAAGTTATGTCACTTGGACTCAGAATGCTCCCTACAAAGGCTACGGACTATCTAACAAAACCTCCAGCGCTATGCATAAGAAATTACTTCCTTTAGAGTTTTGGTCAGGGTAGCTCAAGAGATTCCCAAAACAAAATGGGATATTGCTGCTGCCTTTGTCTGCTACCCAGTATGGGTAAAGACACCATATACTTCAGATGCTGGCCTAACAGCATTAGATGCTGATCTGACCTGAAAGCCTCCTGACCTGGGGACCAGTTTTTATAATCTCAGAAGTCTCGGAGCATACTACAGAAGCTGCCAAGGGAGGGAAGCTACCATAGTCCTACCCAGTCATGATGCCTATGCTCTACAGCATGACCAATATGGCCAAATATCTCTAAAGGTGGCACTCAAATCCTGGCAGTAACCAACATCTCTTATATTGGATGTAAGGCTTATTTAACAGGAGAGACATCATACCTGGTACTGGAAACCTAGCCAGTTACCCAGAGCCAGAGAGGTCATAGTCTTAGAGAAGAGCCTACTACTGTCCACTTTACTAGACCAGTATACCTCCTAACCGCATTCTAAACAATCATCTTTGCATCCCCAGATAATTGTAGCTCTTAACCCTCATCAAAAATGCTTCTCTTTGTAACAAATGAAGATCATTACAGAAAACTACAACTGGTCAAAATGCAGAGAACAATGTTGCCCCGACCCAGTGGAAACATCTACAACTTCTATATCCAAGTTCCAGAGAATACTGTGAAGGAGGGGGTGAAAAGGTTTTAAAAGGTAGAGGACCAGGAAGTCTGGTGTATGATAGCGTTTCCTAGTAATGAAAGGGAAGCTACACCTACCATATCTTAATACTGAGGTTGTCAAAATGAGGATGGAGCAATGACAGTACCTACAGACATGTTACTGCAGAAGAAGGAACAGTCACAGGGTCCCACCCTTACAAAAAAGACTACAGTCAACTCAAGAACTGCTGAGAGGGAAATGAGTTATCTCCAGGGATGCTCCCCCAATTGGCTAGTGGCCAACTCTGAAATCAGATGCGTAGAAGCAACGCTAATTGGACTCAGTAGGTTGTAATTATACATCTAAGCGTTTATACATATATATATGAAAAATAATTAAGGAGTCCATGAATTTGAGAGAAAGTCAGGGAGACAAAGAAGGGGTTTCAGAGAACAAAGAGAAGGAGAAATTATATAATTATACTTTAAAGTATTTTTAAAAAGTTTAACTGGCTGAGAACTAAGGAATTATTATTTAATAAATTGGCATATACATTCCTTAAGAGGACACTTTACCTTATGCACCTGTTTTATCACTTCTAAAAGAACTTGAGTATTAGACACACGCTGCATCTCTGGAACTCCATCCCACAGTTGAGAGACTATGGTCTTCTTTAGCATCTGGACCAGTATGTTCAGAGAAGAAACTTCCAAAGATGCCCATCGCTTTCCTGAGGGTGTGAAAATCAAACATGACAAATGTATTCCTCTTTTCAGCCCTTAAACCCCTGTTTCTCCTGGGATGTTTGAAATAAGAATTAGACAATGTTTCCCATATCTACCATCATAACCATAAAGCAACTCTTCTATGGATATTATCACAAACAACATACTATTCAACAGATGTAGGGCAAAGCTTTAATCTATTAAAATTAAAGAAATCCAAATTTAGAATTTGAAGAAAATTATTTGTAACTGCCAGTTCTGCCCCACGTTTGGGGGCCACTTTGTAATGGCCGGTTCTGCTGCTCCGGTCCACACGTCAGAGTCTAGCAGGAGAGAGAGTTGGGATGGAGGGACAAGAAACGCGAAGAATGGAGACAACACAGAGGGTCTGATCAAGTCTTATCTAGTGAAAGGAAATCCTGGGTATTATACCCTTTACCACACGCCCTTGTGGACAAGCACAGCTGAAGGCACTATGTCATGTGCCTTGCAGCATGGATATCATGTGCACCTAGCTAGCTGCGTGGAGACCACGTGCGCCTAGCTGCTGGCAGCACTAAACAGCAAAACAAGATATGTGAGAAAAACAAGATGTTTATCAGAGTGTGCTCAGCTGTTGCGGGTTGTTGAAAACAAGTCTCTTGTCAGGGTACATGGTTCAAGATGGCTGCAAAGATGATAGCCGCTTTCTGCTAGGAGTCGGCTCCCAACAATTGTTAATGATTTTGATTAACCAACTGGCCATCATTTTCTTTGCTTCTGTTGTTATTATTTGATTTGATGTTTCTGAGATAGGGTATTTTTATGTAGCCCTTAGTATGTAGCCCAAGCTGGCCTTGCGCTTCTACCAAACCTCCTGCCTCATCATCTGGGTGCCAGGGTTAAGATTATGTACTGATGTCATTACTTTCAAGCTAGCAATTTTGTCAAACAGCTACAAAAATCTAAAAAATATACAGACGAATGCCATGCAATATTACTGACACTTCTACCTAAAAATTAAGTAATGCCTATTTTCAGATTACATAAACAGCTGTCACATATGGATATACACTTATTTTAAATATCTTACACCTCACTTTTAATGTTATTGAGATTACATTGGATTTTGGTACTTTTAAAAAGGAGATGGTAGGAACATGGGATTTTTAAATTTTTTCTTTTTTCTTTTGTTTTTATTCTTTGAGAATATGCACCACTTTGAATAGCAATGGGAGAAAGTCTATAAGCCACCATTTTGAATAACAAGGAGAAACAATTGTAAAGTTCTGAGAATCATACTCAACATTTAACCCTTTAAAAGCCACTAGCTCTAACAACTAAGTTGACATGGAAGTGCTTTAATTTTATATTCACAAAATGAATTACAACATATCATAATGAGTTTTGCTAATATTCTTTTCTGTGGTAGTGTAAAAACTTCTAATACAACTTGATCGTTTTGTCTGTTCAAAGGAGCTAGTTTAGATTACTATTACTATTGAAATAGTGGTTTTCCCATGAAATCTCACAGGCTTGTACTCCTGTGCTGGGTCTGGAAGGCACTGATGTCAGGGAAACTAGTATCTAACCATGTGCTTTATCCCTCTGGCAATTAGAAGGTATTAAAATGCTTGAGAAATAGACTCTACAATTACATTCACAGAGGATTTGTAACCTATACATGTACCAAGAAATATTTTAACATTAGAGTAGAATTTGTATTGTTAAGCTGTACAGATTGTTGAGGCTTAAACATTGCATAGTTCTATTCACTATGTCTGACTTTGCACTGCTGTTGCAACACAGGAGGCTTTAAGGTAGAGCAAATCTAGAGAGCATCACTCTCCTAATCCCTACATTAACAGGCTTCCTTTAAGTCAGCATTCCTTCCATGTCACATCACTGTACTACTCTTCGTACCGAGTTTCTATGATCTGTGTCTGTCTCTGAGTCTCTAAAGATGAGCGGTGTCATTCAGCTGTATCATATTGTGGAAAGCATGAGAAACCATCTGAACTAGCTTCCCTGCATCAGTCTCTGGACATGACCTCCAGGATGTACATGCCACCACAAACCTGTAGTCTCTGATATGGTAGAAAAATCCATATCTACTATGTACCATAGGAACCATGACTCTCTGAACTTGTAAACAACCAACCAGACTTGTTGAGAGCACAAAATTTCCACCTCCTCCACTTCTGGAGAAAAGTGGGTCCTCAAATGGTTCCGGAACAGGCAGACTTTCCTCTTGCTATGAGCCAAAGGTAACGGTCAAATCCTTTTCCATGTGAACAATCTTTCATCATTTTATTATACTTCACAAAAGCTTCTAACATTTTTGCTGATGTTCAAGGAGACTGGCAGAGGGGTATGCAAGGCCTGCCACCACCTGACGGCCTCCACTGTACACGATCACACAGCCGCTGTTCGGCCATGGTAGAAGTATCTCGTCATGGCTGTTTCGTAGCAGCAACCAGGGCATCCGTGAAGTCTGTAATAGGCGAGCTGAAGAGCAAGCTGAGTAAAGGTATCAGGGTGAAGGGCCTTCTTCTTAGTGAGCTTTTTGCCAAAAGATGTGAAGGTGATGCTGCTATCTGCAGATCAGATGCCACTTTGAGGTGTTGGGCTTTGGCTTGGGAGACATCATTCAGTATTTTCTCATCCACGGTGAAAAACAGCTCCTCTGGCAATGGTATATCCCGGACTTTTTCTGCACCCTTCCACCTTCCTTCCATCCCTAAGAGTCTCTCCTCGCCATAATGTGCAACGTGCACCATAACCATTGCATCAGAAGGAGCATGCTCACAGCAACAGCCAGACATTCCATTAGCACAGGAAATCAAATTATGGGACTTGTCACCCCACCGTACTGCTGGATCTCCACTGAGAAGCATTTCAAAAACCTGAGAAAAATCTTCTGGGGTTGCATGCTGACTGGTGTCTTCTATGGAGTACACAAATAAACTGGTTTGGTTTTTTTTCTAAGTCAAGTTCTCTGGATAAAGACCAATCAGATATTCTCTTGCCTTTGCCCACCAAGTTTTCTTCTCACTAGTTAATGTCATTACACTGGGTCCAGCAGGTTCGTTCCAGCACTTCTTGTGGATGTATGTCAGTGGTCTGAGAAGTACTGTCGGGGTGATCAAACATCCCTCATGCAGTACCATCAAAGACAAACGTTCTGGCTCGACACAGCACAGCAATGTGGGTTGGACAATGGTCTTCACTCTCAGTCTTAAAATAATTCATAATCAAATCTCTAGTAATTTCCGAAACCTTGCAGGTAGAGAACAACATTCGAAATTGGTTCATGTGTAGAAGAATATTTCCAGATTTATGTACAGGCAATTCTTCTTGTCTTAGCAGCTGCCAGGAGTTCAAGTTGTACCCCAGCAGTATACTTCCTCTTTCTAACTGAATGCCTTCCCTTGCAGGACAGTTGTGTTCAAAATGGGGAGACAGACCCATGAAGTTCACATTCAGTTGTGATGGAATATGCATGCCCAGGTAGGCAACATTGAGCCACCACTCTTCCAGCCAGTTTCTTCTTCCTTTAGCCCTTTCAAGTAACTTCTGATGCAATCTTTTGCCAACTCCATCTTGAAACTTTTGAACTATTTCTTCAGTTCTCTTATACTCTTCTTTATTTGCAAATGGTTTCACTGATCCAAGGTTGTTTTGTTTTTGTTTTTGTTTTTGTTTTTAATCATTCTTCAAGTGAAGGAACAGGCAGTGATGGAAGACAGTCCTGGTACTGAAATGTTCATTCTTCAATTGATTTAGCCAGTTGATTTTCCATGGTATAGACACAGTAAGAAAACAGTAAACCAAGATGACGTGCTCAGGACTTCCAGGAGCCTACTTGAACAATTCTGATTGAAAACCACAGGGAACCTGAACTGGCCAAGCCTGGTGACTCCCGTACCTGCTTTGCCCTCTGCAATCAGCCACCAGCCCCAACAGCCTGCCCTTTTTTCTTTTTATCTTCTAGTTATTCACATTTCAGAGATAGTTTAACCTTAAGCAACACTTGGTAGTTCTTGAGAGAGGGTTGTTATAAATCTCTCTCTCTCTCTCTCTCTCTCTCTCTCTCTCTCTCTCTCTCTCT